AGAATGTTATGTGCGCTGTCTCTGCTCCGGTTTGTAAGTTCGTAACGGCTCTCATTTTGTGAAACGACACGCGATTACCTGGCAGAAGCAAAGACAGTTGACTTTGAAGGCAGTAGAATATTCCATTATCAGGAATGTGCAATTCACAAACTTCGATTTTTATGGACGGATATTGAGGCCATGACGGAAAAATGTGTCTTGACATAGCGTGGAATAGTGATTGAATATGTAAGCCCTTCTGAAATTGTAACGACAACCGTTGTTTCTGTTGCTACCGTCATCATCCTCATCCTCATCATTCTCTCGTTATGCATAACAAAATTCCCTGCCTTATGCACCACGGTATGACGCCACATGGACGAGCGGAGGTATTGCTCCATGCTTTCTTGGTCTAGGCGCTAGATGGAGTGACCTGTTAGCTTCATCCCCGTTAACACCTGGCTAGGAGGCTGCATGAGCCCCAGTGTCAGTCTGGGTGAGGTGGTTCCCGCCGGGAACTGACCTGTTCAGCACGCAACCTAGCCACTACACGTCGTTTCACAGCAGTACACACATCAGAATGGATATCACAGTTAGTCTTGGCTAGTGCAACTCTCCTCAGCAGGCGGAGTCACGAGTTCAATGCCCGGCCAGTCCAAGTGACATTTTTGGCAGTCAAGTTTGCTCTGCTGCAGATGTTATAGGAGCTAACATCCACAATCAGCTTCTCGTCCAGCGTGATAAACTAAGGCCGTATATAAAGAAGTTAGGCCTCGCAACACGAGTAAGGTGAATACTATCCCAGTGGTTCTCATTACAAGCAAGAGGTTCTGGGAAGAACTGTCTATATTCCTTTGATACGACACGGACCGCATGGAAGACATGTTCAGCAGTTCTTCTATTCTCGCATATGCATTCGTTGCGGCGGTAAAGTTTTTACTGATCCGTTGCCTAGCAACAATGTGGAGATCTATACAAAGATGCACAGACTGATGAAAGGGACTTCTGAAGTGCACCGTTAAAACGGGTTCAATTGCCGCGATATACATACTAAGTTTCATAAAGATTAGTTTGGACATTAAAATGTTTATGGGGGGCTACACAGACAGCATGGTGATCGCATAAACCTTCTTTTATAAATAAGGAAAGCAGGCTAATAAACCGTAAATGTAATAAACTTACTGAAACTGTTCTTCTTAAATTAATAATTTAGCGAAAATATGTCGAAACTTTATCGCTAAGGAACGTACCAATCGATACTTAGCAGTCGTATTTTCAATAAGAGACATTTCTCACTTGTCACGGTGCGGCATCCGGTTTTCATAACAACGTAGAGGTAGTTTTGCTGGGCACTTAATTTATCAACTGTGGCCGTGTACCTTACATGTCCACGTAACTGATTACAGCTACTCCATCAAGTTGAGTCCCTTTTGAGAAACTAGTCAAGAATTTCTCGTCTTTCACAGAACTACGAAGTTCAACGCCGAGTTCACACGATTCCTGTAACTATCACGAGTCAGCCCACGTCGTATTTCACGAAATTTCGTCAGTTCACGCCATATTTTATGAAATTTCGTCAGTTCACACCATATTCTATGAAATTTCGTCAGTTCAAGCCATATTTTATTAAATTTTATCACTTCACGCCATATTTCATGAAATTTCTTCAGTTCACGCCACACTTTATGAAATTTCTTCTTAATGTTACCCTGCCACACTGTTTCCTCCCCCCAAATATCATGACCGAAAGTAAGCATGCATATGTCACCATTCCTGCTACATGCTGCAGCTCGGCTGCTTGATGTAATAACCATAACCATATCTGGCGAACAGCACCGGTTATAGAGCTCCTCGTTATTTTATATGGGAAAGGGAATATAAATTGATTTTACCGGTTACCCTTTTTTTTTTCTGTTTAGAAACCATTTGTGGCATTAAACACTTCTATATGTTGATGCTTTAGTAGTGATTCTTTTTATGGACGTATTGGTTTGTTGAATGCCGTCTTTTGGGATGTGGCGCCGTGTAGTTCTTGCTTGAACCGACGTTTCGGAGGAACCTATCGCCACCAACTTCAGGGTAGAAATATCCGCGAGCGAGGAACCAGCTAGGTGTTTTCGACTGGTAGTTCAGTCTTCAGCCACCTGCTCACACTGGTTCCAGTCTCGCAGTTTTTCCTACACTGATAATGGAGGCGATAGGTTCCTCCGAAACGTCGGTTCACACAAGATCTACACGGCGCCGCATCCCAGAAGACGGCATTCTTCATAGTCACCGCTGTTAAAATCTCACATCTGACATATTGTTCATGTTGCTTTGTATTAACAGTTTAATTTAACTGATGACATTTCACAATTTACGATTTGATCTTTATCGCATTATTTCCAATTATATATATTTATTCAAACAAGGAAAGAAATGCTTCGCTACTTTTAGTATATTTGGCGAATCATCTGTTGAGAGCTGTCACCGAGCTAACGTAGGTTCCGAATCTGATTGTATCGCAACTTCCTCAAGACAATTTGTGTCGGCTTTTCCCCGAAGTTATTATTTTTCTGTAACATCTTCGTTACTCTCAGTGAAGTCACCACTAAACATGTTTTCGTAGTCGACATGGCGATCACTGGTTACTCCAAGATTATGACACACTGTGAAGCTGTAGAAATAGATATCTTGACTGATAATCCATGCAACATAACGCGTGCCGTTTACACACGGTTGGGAGACAGACGAAGACACTAGAAACTGACAGATGGACGTGTTTCGCTGTTGTTTGGCTGCCAGTTTACGTCTGCTTATTTATCTACATAAATGTGCGATATTTCTCTTTACAAACTCCGGCATTTCTCTGTTTCAAGATGCAATAAATGTCAACAAAGGAGGAAATGTTGCAAATACCTCAAGACGTAAATATTCCTGTTGGAGCTTTGATATTGCCTGGTGAACATGAAAGATAATTTTTTACTAATTGTTAATATCAAGTCTCTCAAAACGTCTATGCTGTTTGTGACGCACAACATACAAGCATAAGATGCAGAAAGAATGTCCCCAAAAGTAGGGCTGTTATGCCGACAAACACTTAATTACATTTGTATTTCCGTACCAGGTGGTCATTTTGTAATATTATCTGTTCATGCAAATCCTAACGGTAGACAACTTAATATTTTCCACATCTGAACCATAATTAAAAGTGTGACGAATATTAAAGTTTTGCACATTTTAAGTAAAGAAAGTAGTTATGCATGGCGATTCTGTGTTGTATCAAGCACGAATTAATTCCGGGAGCACAGTGCAACTCCATGGCGGCGTGACTGTGATAAAGTATCCTCACGAATTATGCCTTGAAGAACAGAACTCTCTCCTTCCTACTAAAATGGAGAGTTCAATATACATTTCTAAAAATAAAAATATACTATGCCTGGTCGAAAGTTCATAGGTTTTAAAGTATATTCTATTTTATGTCTTCTTTTTATAAAACGCGTACCTTTAAATTCTTCATGTCTGCATTAAACATTGCCCAAGACAGTCCCTTAAGTTTAATATACCATGCTTAAAATGTATTAAATAATTTGCATGTGAGATATATTTATAAATCACCATGATTTTTTTCAAATGATAATACAATGTAGTTGAAAAATTATTCTGTAATACCTAAAAGGTTTATTAAACGACCCCGTGCTCATGCATACACACATACGTCATATCTGTTTACTATTCATGGCTGTTATTGTGTAGTGTGAAAACAGGCCTGGTGGAAATTTTAGTGATCGATAACTTAAAAGAGCTGTAGTCGGAGCACACCTCTAATATCGTGTAGCTGTGTGGCAAGAGAAACCCAGCGTAAATGCCCACACTGGCTCAACTATTTTCTTTTTTCATCTTCAACGGTTCCGGCATTCCACTCAGTTAAATGAGTGACTGTCACGTTTTCGTAAGTGACATTCTCATGAAAATTTTTTGTTTGCATTGGAAGGAGTTCCTGCTTCCATTTGCGGCTGTGTTTAGAACTCTCATCTCTCTGGCAATAAAATGCGAACATTCAAATGAAACAGGATCCGAGATAAGCTGCAACTTACAGCACGCGCGCCGCACTTTTGCCAGCTCCTAGAGAACCTCTAACTTATCCGCAATAAAAGTCCCATTTGCCAAATTTCCTGCCTATTCTTCTCATTTTGAAAATTCTGTTACAAAATCCAACATATATTTCTGTTGAGCATCCCTTCTCTTAGATTCCAAACGGTTTTAACGATGGTATATAAAACACAGAATTACTGGGTTTCCAGACTTTCTCCATCGTCCAGTATTCCAGAAACTAGAAAACACGACGTTTCGGAAGCTGGATCTGTTTCCGTCCTCAGTTTGGGGGGGAAGACACCTACTCTAAGAGCTAACCTGGCATCCAGTTTCCGAACCGCTGTGTTTTCTGGTTTCTAAAACACCGAACGATGGACAAAGTTCAAAAACCCACTAATTCTGACCCCTTCTCTTATCGCAAATAGAATTTAACAGTATCGTGCAAGAATCTACTGGCTGTTGTCTACAGCCATATAATGATTTATTGATACGTCTCTTGTGAGCTGTACACGGAAAGAGATTCTGCATACACGGCTCTTTTTCTCCCCTTTACAGCTATGTTTTAAATTCCATCATTTTTATGACATGTTTGTAATATCGAAATAATGAGCGCATGCGCCCTACAGATCAATTATAACAGCCTCCTACTGCTTTACAATACAGGGACGATGGCATGGCTCGACGACGCATGAATTAAAAGGGTGATTCATACGAAAATCTACCCCCTCCCTTGCATATGCACGTAGCCAATATAATTTGCAATAACTGCAGACAACAAATGGTAGAGGCCAGTCCATTCATATCCTTGTGAGGGGGGTGCAGAAGCAGCGGCAGTGGTTCCGTGCCGTCTGGCGGTGCCAGAAGAGAGCACGAGGCAGGAAACAACTCCGCGCTTGTCGGATGGTATTCCCCTTAAGTCAGTAGAGATGGTTATTGATTGTGCTTACCGTGGTGGTTGTTGCGATGTGGGCATGAAGCACGCTCCGTCTGATAGTACTCCAACAGTGTCGAGACGCTCCACACTTTCACGAAAACACATGTAAGAAATCCAGCATTATGACTGTCGCATCCTGTCTCGGTACGCGTGTGACCACTGAACAAATTGATAACCTCAATGCATCGAATAAACTGAAACTTTCAGTACACAAAAACAAAACAAGCCAGGCCACGACAGAGTAAAAAAACAACAAGAATCTACCTTGACGCGAGGATGCGCAGGGACGACGGGCTATATAAACTTCTATCGATCGTGTGTATGAGGCTTACATTCCCTATCCGCTTCTCAATGAGTCACACCACACCGTCAAAACACAACACTTCCAACCAATATTTCTCCGAACTTCCCTTCACTGCAATGGTTTCATTTCACCACGGCACTCACCCCGTCCCCTTGCCAGTGATCTGTAGCGCGGGCTAAGTTGCACCTCTAGCAGACGTAGCAGCAGCAACTCACTTGCTGGCTGACTGTGCTCTGACTCGCTCGTGCAAAGCGCTTCGGTGCCAACCCAGGGCTCGCAGCAGCAAAATCTCGACTGGACTGACTGGGGGTCGCGTTCCAGCTTCGTCCGCCCGACGCTAGGTTGCCGCGCGCTCGCTCACTCGCTCATTCGGCTCGGGCCATCGCAGGGTCTCGGCTAGCCCGCGCTAGTTCGTTCCCTCTTCGTCGTCGACGTCCTCCACGTCGACGCCAACGTCGGTCGCGGTCGTTGGTCTGCCTACCTGCCTGTTTATCGTTGCGCGCGCGCCGAGTGTGCTCTTTCCCTCTTTTTTTTTTCTTTCTCTCTCTCTGTTTAGTATTTCCGCAACTGGACCGACCCGACCAACCAGTAGAGCGATGGACAAGCAGTTGTTCTAGTAGTGGATCCTGTAGAATGTTGATGACGTTTCTTCTCATCTCTTCTCGCTCGCACCTTCCCTGATGCTCCTGCTGGTCCACAATCGACTTAGACCTGATTGCTTGGACTCCACGACCATCCGTTGTTTATCTTTCGCGTCATCGAAGCAGTGAAAAGGATATGATTTCTTTGGAGCAGGAACACACTCGCGTGTCTGAGACATGCGCAGCTCTACTCATTTCAAACGGATTCCATCTTTCGTTAACGACAAAATGCTACTTGTGGTCTTCTAGGTTCTCACAACCCAGGAGGCCACATTCTGAACAATCACTGCCAGAAAAGCGGAAAACTGATAAAATCAAGTTTATTTTTATTGTTATTTAATTCCCTTGAATAGGCCGTGCCACAGCTCAGGCGGTTAGTCGCTGGCTTCCCACCTCGGCGGCCTGGGTTCGAGCCCAGGTTACATCGTGTGAGATTTGTAGTGGAAAAAGTGGGGCTGGGGCAGATTTTCTCCGAGTACTTCGGTTTCCCCTACCAAACTTCATTCCAGCAATTGCTCAACAATCACCATCATCCACCATCTGGAGCTGGTACAATAGACCAGTAGTTGCCGGAGTACCAAGTGGACTCAGTCTCACGCCACTAATACTACTACTACTAATAATAATACTTAATTCCTTCTCTGCGGTATATATGCCTCCTTGCGCCTGCATGTAAAGCGATAAATCGCGTAATATGGTAACATCCAGAGGTTCTGGAGTTCCGAGCCGCAGAGACGGGGGAGTAGGGGAGCGAATGGAGTTGTTCACCCTGCTAAGTGTATACTAACTCGTAGACTCATGGCTGCTTCCAGTGGCAATTTATTATTGTTAACCGCGTGGCGAACTTCGAGAAATTCTCGATTTTGTAGTTAGAAACATCGAACTGTAAAGTTGTTTGAACGCACATGCAGTGTTTCGGAGCTGAAAGTTAAGAAACACTGGGGTAGGGGAACAGACGCTCCTCGTGGATCGATAACTGCCCCCCCCCACTACGGAACCTCATGTGGTGATCACGAGAATTAATTTGCTCTACATTTACTAAAGACCATCTCTGACACTTCTTTTTTTGCCTTCGTAACACAAAAGATGTTTGTGGAATCTGTTTTCGTATTGGCATTTGAGTTTCATTGAAAACCTACACGTATTAAAAGTGAATGATAAGCTGGAGTCATGTTTCCCCTGACGAACTAGACTGAACGAAGTTCAGTTTTTGTTAGTCTTTCGAGAGAAAAATATATTATTTAAATAACTGTACCATATACAGAACGAGCGCTCCACTCTGAGCGTGTTACGTAAAAAGCGTATTGAAATAGTTTTCCAAAACGCGTATATTCCAAAGCACTTTAGTTGCATATAGCTCAGGTGCATCGGCACGAAATACTGCCATTTTATAAGATGTAAGTCCCGCTTTCACGGACAAAGTGTCTGCTCCCATGCCAAGCCCGATAAGAAATGAGAGAGAAACGGTTGCCTTCAACGTCCGAACCCTCTTCCTCCAGAGACTATTGACTTTTTGTGCCGAAATCGCCTCAGCTCTCATACCTTGCTGTCAGTCAGTCGGCCACCTGGCAGTCCATCCGTCTCTCTGTATGTGCATATTCACTCGTTCAGTCACTGTGTTATTCGCCTCAACGTACAAGCGCTTTTTAAAACTTGGTGCCTTCATCGGCGAGTCAATTTAGGCCGGCTCAGCTCTGTCAGTGCTTCTCTGTGATCCCACTCTGCTTAACATCGAAATCCACTGGCATGTTTTAATCAGGGTTGATTCAAGATTGAATAATACACGAAAGCCTTTCCACGAATATTATGAAATACAAAAGTAAAATGGCTGCATGTTGACTCAGTGAAAGAAGTAACGATTTTATTTGATTAGGATGGTTGCAGAAGTTGTACGAAGTTGCAAGCTATATTCGGTTCGTACCGCCATTAGGTCAAAAATTATGGCACTTAGAATGACTTATTAACTTCGTAAACAATCTGCAATTTCCAGAAGGCTGGTGCGCATAAATTTGGGTTCGTAGCATGTCGTAGTCCTCAGTTCGAAAAAAAAATATTAGCGTGAAGTAAAAATAAAACGAATATCAAAATAAAATATATTAACTGAATTCATTTCTTGTAGAACCATATATGGGTGAATGGAAACATGATTACAAAACACAAGGGGACACGTCTGCTCGAACGAGTAATGCCCTTGACTTTTATTCAGGAGGTTCTCGGATTGGGACCCTGCCGGAACAACAACTTTTGTTGTTTTCCTCAGTCTTCCGGGCAAATGACGGGATGGTACCTCGACGGCTTCGTTTAAATAATTTCAAAATCTTTAATGTATGAGCCATCCATTCGGCGCTACACTGAACTCTTCTTTATAGCCACTTTGCATGAACCGAATAGAAAACAGCGTTTCCAACAATATTCCCATTGTTGTAGGCGTGTTTACCGATCCGTTGCTTAGAAAAGGGTTGCATAACCCGGTACTTCTATTTTTACTCGTACGTGCGTGTATGTTGCGAGCGTTGCCTAGCAACGACCACTATTTACAGAGCCACTACTACTACTACTACTACTACCACTACTACTACTACTAATAATAATAATAATAATAATAATAAACTCTTGAAATCTCGGCAGTGAGGTAGGGAAGTTGGTATTGAAATACTTGTAACTGTCAACAAAAAATCAGTGAGCCGATTGTCTAGAAATTGAGGGAGTCTCGACGTCTCACAATCCCAGTGAGCCTCCACGGCCTGTTGCAGGGATACCTTCACTTTTACTGAAAGAGTAATGAACTATCCCACCAAAAAAAAGTTCTGGGAAGAATTAATCGCTCACTTTCCCATCACAACGTACTGAGGTTTGATGCTACACGGACCGCATAGAAAACACCGCGTCCAACATTTCTTCGATTGTTGCATGTATATTCGTGTACTAAGGAACATGTTTACTGATCCGTTGCCTAGAAATGTTAAGGGGAGAGACATACAGAGAGATGATTTCATATGCCTACTTCCGTTCTTTGAAAATATGGATTGTAGGCTGAATAAATCCAATCCCAGAAGGACGTCATTAGTTTCACTGACAATTATAATGAAAAATCTGGGTAATTTCCTTAGTAGGCCTAAATACTCATCAGTAACACCAACAAAATGATCGTGCTAAATGTACGGGACCGGACCGTAATTATCTCCGTTCAGTCTAAGGTGTTCAGGCAGTGTGCTGTGTGCCCAGCGAATATTGCCACGTCATGACATGCAAAAATACAAGTGACTTTTCACTCAGTGTTCAAAAGAGTTGCATATTAGCTCCACAATACTTTGGCACTGTATCTGTATCTTCTCGGTCATTGCAAACGATTTCCGAACTATCACTTCATAAAAGACCAGAAACACAGGCGAAACAAGCGGCCTCTGGGGCAGCACGTCTTACCGTGTTTTTTGTTATGAAAATCAGTCTCTGTTGATTTTGTTCGTGTCACGACCCTTCATTGGCAGTAATTTAGACGTGTTCTTCTACAGTGAAAATAAAACAGTGTTTAGAGTTAGCAAGTGAATGACGGATTCCGTCACAGGATATGGAAATTTCGTGTTATTAATTGAAATTAAATTGTAGTCACGTTAATGCGACTCCTGCTGACCATGAGGATCTCTTGTCGCCCTGGGCGGCATTTAGGGAACATGCAGCACCTTCTCTAGCGTCTGACTGCACTGAACAAAGCACGACTCTCAATGTGCATTTATATTGATCGATAGATTGATGAATCGTGGAGTGAATTCTGCATTAACTGATAGCCTGCTGAATCACAAATTATATTTTATATTAATGAACAAAATACGTAACCAATTTAATTTATAATATATGTAGTGCTTCGTTACGAAAACCTGAGCGTCTGAGCTGTGTCACGCTCCGTCTGCTGCGTCAGTTGCTCTGTGTTGGATATGACAACGAAGGAGGAGCAGGAGTTTTAAGTGAAGTGGCCTCGCCATAGCTCAAGCGGTTAGTCGCTGGCTTCCCGATCCCGGGTCTAGTCAAGTGGGATTTGTGGTGGACAAAGTGACGCTGGGGCAGGCTTTCTCCGAGTTCTTCGGTTTCCCCTGCCAATCTTCATTCCACCAAATTCTCCATCATTATAATCACCCGGGGCAGGCTACAATAGGCTAATCAGTGGCCGCCGTGCCGAGTGGACCCAGTTGGACTCCACCCCCCACTAAGCGAATTTAAAAAAAAAATTAAGTGAAATGTGTAGGGACGATCTGAAGAATATCGCCATGTTGCAGCCTGATTCAGTTATCATTATGTCCCCAATACGATCGTAGGGAAATTCAGTACTACGGGTATATTGTAAAAAGGAACTGGACCTCTTGTTTTCTTTTCAAACCAATGCAAGCCCACCAACCCGCTCACTTGGATGTCCCTAGTTCTGAGACTCACAGTTTGCAGCATGGAAGATCTGTTTCTTATTCAAGATGTCGCCGTTCCGAAACTCGGTCGGATTCCTCTACATGGTGGCTTACATGAGGACATATGTACTTACCTACTTACTCATGGAGCTGAGCCCTTCTTGAGGATAAGCCAAATCTGCAGCTGCTCAAGAACTTTCCCAGCATTTTATGGAACCTGAAAGTTCATTACCGTGTTCACAAGAGCCCTCCACTGGTCCCTATCCTGAGCCAGATCAATCCAATACATACC